AAAAAGTACTCCAGAGTGTTGTTCAGCATGGGGGTGAGTAGAAAATGAAGGCTAATCATGTTTTGGGTGTACTATTCCTTTAAAGTAGCATTAAGCAGTAATGGATTATTTTATATAGAGAACTAAGAACCTAGTGATGTGAAGAACTACACTGGAAAAATGATCTAGAAATAAGTACAACTTTCTTCAATTAAGTGCATTATTTTGAGAAGGTAAATGAGATAGTTTGCCAATGGGAGTATTTTCACTCTTAGTATAAGATAATTACATAACATGCACTTGAAATAAGACAAACGCAAATGTTTTTTTTATTATTTTAAATGTAAATTGTCTTGTTCCATTGGTAAAATGTCTTACTTTCCTCTCAATTCAAGAAAAAATTACTTATGTAGATTTTTTTTTTCCTTTTCAGTGTAAAGGTATCTCTTTATAGATGGAATATGGTGTGAAGTCACACATCTCTTTGTTCTGTGTTCTCATTTTCTCCTTGCTAGAACGAAACTACGATGATCTATGTGTCAAGCAGCCAATTGGAAAGAAACTGTTTCAGCTCTACTGTATGACTCGGCCTGAACTGCACAACCACATGGGGCTCCTGGATGCTTTGGTACGCTGAAAGAAACATGCAAACTGATTTTTAACACATGCAGGAATAATAAAGTTTCCCCCTTCCTTCATGTTGTGCTGAAGACGCTTCTACAATGAGATGAAAAGGCTTCAAACTAAGACAGAATGGGTTTTGGCATTCTTTGTAAAGTAGAGGAGAAAGGTTTTGAAAAGGAAAGTAAACCCATACAAATGATGTGACTTTATCTATGGAGTGGATTTGGTCCATTAGTGTTGCAAGCAAACAACTGCTTTGAAAATTAAATGGAAAAAAAAAAAGGAATTCAGAAATGATCAGTTGAAAAAAAATTTTGGTCCATAAATGTTTTTTTCTTTTCTAAGATTTTGTTTGTTTGTTTTTTGTTCGTATTCAAAACAAATACAAAAACATTTATATAAAATCTGTAAAAAAATAAAATAGAAATAAAAAAATAACAATTAGTTTGACAGCATTGATAAAAATAAACTATTAAAAAAAATAATCCTTAAAAAGTAAAATTTGATTTACAAAAAAAAGGTTTGAAAAAAACAAATCAAGAATACAGTAAAGTTACTCTAAAAAAGTTTTTGGAGTAAAACCTTTTTCGTGGTTTCATTACTGGATTGTATTTAATTTTCAATTATTATCAAATAGAAAAAAATTACCCCGTATTCATCAGCTGCTTAATGGAATTAAAATTCAACAGAACTATCAACATATTACTTTTCTAAAATTAAAATTAAGGTCAAAAACTAAAATTTTACNACTTTTCTAAAATTAAAATTAAGGTCAAAAACTAAAATTTTACTAATATTAATTTTTATGGAGCCAATAAATGAAAGAAACAGTCAGATCAAATACACTATTGTTGAATCATAATCAGTGTAACCACCTTTTTTACTAATATTGTTTAGCTATTAAAGCTAAGTAAATAAAATGATAATTGAGAAAATAAAATATGCAAAAAAAACAAATTAACGATGGCCTTCAAATAAGCAACTATTACTTATAGTAATATAGTATAGGGAAGGACTCCGATTCCAGCTTTCAAAAACCTACAATGCAGCAATTGAGTTGATTCCTTTCCGCTATCATTGCAACCCCAATCCCTTTATAGGGGAACAAAACACCTCTCCTATTCAGCCAGGCCAATAATTCCTTTTAATGACATTGCTTTCAGAGACATAGACAGGTATGGGGAATTGCAGGTTAACAAAAGAAGCCGAACGCCCCCCATTCCAAAGGGGTGGACCTGTTCGTCTTTTTTAATTTGCATGCTTTTTAAACCAAAACAAGGCTTTATTTGGCTACTGTATAAAGCCTCAAATTCACTGCTATTTCATTTGAAGACGTTTCGCTTCCTGGATTAAAAGCGAAACGTCCTCAGACTTGGAAACAAAGTCCAGTGGATTGTTCAACTTTTTTGGAATTTCTGAGACATTGTCATCTTTTTACATTGTCTCCGTTAAACTGCTTTTCTTACGTCATCATCGGACATGCTCAGAGTAGTCCGGGAAAATATGATTGCACCGTGTGTATCTGAATTTTAGCTATTTTCTTTTTTAGATTATGCAATATATACTACTGTACACGTTTAAAACATGAAGCAAAAATCCAACTTGAAAAGGCAAGATTTATGTATAAATTCAAAGCTGAAAAAGCTAGCTCTCGGAAGTAGCGTAGGATCCCATTTCCAGGACAGATCTGGACAGACGAGCGATAAAACAGAAAGGATTTTAATGCATTTCATTTGTTAGAAAAATAAATATTAACCTTGTACCCAATGTAGTTTAGTATGCTTCTATTTTTTTTTTTACAGTGTCCTGTCTGGCAATGTGGCAATAAGAATAATTGTCTTTATGCCAAAAAGAGCCCAACAGATTTTACTTTCACAAGTGGAGCAGTACGGCTATCGCCATAGTGTTCCGCTTGATTTATGCATATAAATAACTTTATTATAATTATGCAGGGAGTTTTACAGATTATATGAACACTGCAATGTAAGTAGAGCAGAAGAGGAAAAACAGAAAAAAATGAGATGCTTCTAATTTTTGGGGAGAGTAAAATCAAAGGCGACCCAGATGTATATCTAGTTGCGAAAATGAGCTGATGGTACAGATTGTGCTAACGGTACAAAGTAGTTACAGCTGCTTTTACCTCACATGATCCATCTACCCAGTGTTTTTATCAGCGGTTCGGTGTGATTCAGTGATGGTGTCACAGCGCCACCAGAGGGCCTGGCATATGTACTACACCGTCTGCATTCATGCTGTTTACACTTGTTGGGACAAAACCTTTTTTCTAGCTGTTTATAACGATATCCAACAGGAATCTGAATTTCCATATTTATTACACCTTAGAAAACATCTTTATTTGATCCAAACTGCAAATCAAGCAGTTTCTTGTCTGAATTTCATTCACCCTTATTCACTGCTAATGATTTCCAAGTTTCTCTGGACATAATTAAATTCCCCATAGTTTAATCAAGTACTATTTAGTGTTTTATCCAGTCTAGGTTTTCACTCAGTGTGTAAGGCTGATTTCCCACTGATCCACATCACTCTGTTTCCATTCAAAAAATTACTAGATTATTATAAGATCTTATAGATTTTAATGTACGTAAAACTGTTTACAATAATTTAAAGGTGTTCCAATTGATAATTAAAGATTTGCATGAAACACAAAGCAACTTGATCACATCCCTCCAATCACTGATATGCTGTTTCTGCAGGAGTTCAGATTAGATAGACTCACTTAGAGACTTACACAGATTTTATTTTGTCATTTTGAACACTCAAGTGTATACAAAAAGAAATTTCATTTAGAACAGCTCTCTAGACTTTTTCATTTTTTTTTAAAGTGCAGCATTGATATAAACACTGTGGTTAAAAAAAAGTGATATAAACATACAACTGTATAGTTACAGTTCCAACATTCAGGGTGAAGAGGTCATGTACAACACTCAGAAGCAGTTCTGTTTTCATGTTTGACTTGCTAATTATTCATAGTTTGTCCTTCTTACCCTCCTTACTCTTTGTCTCCTTTAGGAACAATTTGAAACAAAGGAAGATAAGGAAAGGAAAAGCTTTGGGTTCAGCATCATTCAGAGGTTTATGAATCCCCAGGTCTGAAAGGGCTTCTATACACATATAAACACATACATACATAAAGGTATAGTGGAGGATGTTCTTTTTCCCGGTGGATCATCAACATAAGTGGTCCTCCTAATTGTCTATCATTTTGCCGACCTGAAGTTTGTGTGAACGATGCAAACAGTAACTTTTAAATAGAGTTTGCACGGGGAGAAATGGGCACGTGCACACTCTTGCACGCATTTTTTTTTTAAGTGGAGAGGGCAGGTCTTTAAAAAATCACGAAAATCCTCCTCAATACCTTTTAAGCAAGCTAAGAAATACAATTAACAAAAAAGGAGCGAAGTGGAGTAATACATTAGCTGGTATAGACTGTATATCCATATAAATTCCAGCAGCTCTATGTTCTGTATTAAAGTTGCATTAGTCACATTATATGCCTTCAAAAAAATTCTCGTAATTTTATGACTATTTTTGTTGCAACTTTATTCTTGTAAAGTTATGTCTTTATTCTCACACTTTTACAGCTATTCTCATACTTTATGACTTTATTCTTGTACTTTTACAACCTTAGTCTCGTAAAGTTACAACTTTATTCTTGTAATTTTATGAATATTCTTGTTGCGACTTTATTCTCGTAATGTTGCGACTTTATTCTTGTACTTTTACAACCTTATTCTCGTAATGTTACAACTTCATTCTCGTAATTTTACAACTTTATTCTTGTAATTTCATGACTATTCTTGTTGCGACTTTATTCTCGTAATTTTACGACTTTCTCATAGCTTTATAACTTTATTCTCATAATTTTGACTATTTGACTATTGTCGTAATTTTACAGCTTTATTCTTGTAATGTTACGGCTTTATTAACATAATTTTATGACTATTCTCATAATTTTACAACTTTATTCTCGTACTTTTATGACTTTATTCTTGTAATGTTAGAACTTTATTCTCGAAACTGAAAAAATCTGGAGCCTGGCCCTAATTCTCCATCGTATAAACGCCTCACTTAGACTTAGACAACATTTATTGTCATTTTGTACAGTGTGTATACAAAACTAAATTTCTTTTTTGTACAGTTCTCACGACATTTCCATTTTCTTAAAGTGCAGCAGTTAGCAGTCAGCAGCGTTATCATCCTCTTTAGTGAACACCAACGTTCAGAGTTATTTCCCAGCTCTGTTCTGGTCTGATCATCCTTGCAACCAAATATTGTTTTGCATTTTTCACACTGGATCTATGACTTTTTTCATTGCTTCCATACTTAACGGTGAGAGGCTAACGGCTTAGCAGCGTTATGCCACTTCCTAGTTTACTCCTGCACACATGCACAGGATTGTTGTTATTAATGCAAAAAGCAAAGCATGAAACACAAAATAGCAAATAGTACAGCAGCAATTATCAAATGAGTTATTTTCTACACACTGTTTTAATAACATCTTCCTTGTTCCTCAGGCTATCCAGTTTGTGCCTTTATTAGCAAAGTATGAACAAAGCTGCAGAGAGAGTCTGGAGCTCAGTCCATGTGAGGACGTCTTTCACACATGCAGAGAGTGAGTACTGTCGTGTTATACAACATAACCACGCCCTCTGAACTGTTAGAACATTACAATCACATACTTCAACACATTTCACTGGGAACTCTGTGTAACAGAATGGCATCCAGCAGTTAGGCTCATTACAAAAAAGATATTTAATATATAATATTTTGCAAGTTGAAGATTTTTAGATTCATTTCACGCAAAATATGCTACTGATTTATATGTAGTGTTCAATGGTATATTTAATATTTGAATTGTGCATAAAAAAAAACAACAAAAAAAAACTAATTAGGTAATTAATGTTATGTATTTCACAGTACATGTATTTATTTTATAAAATATTTTTGGCCTTTAAGATACAGCAGAATTAAATCATATTTTTTAAAACTACAATTCGGTTTTAACTTAGTGTCTTACGGCCCAAAGTTGAATGTAGAAGACCGATGCATCCATTTTCTCCTGCTTGATCCGTAACAGCTGCATTGGGGCTGGTGCTTACACTGCAAAAAATGTCAGTCTAAATAAGTCATTTTTTCTTGCAATAAGTGCATTTTTTCTTGAATTGAGGAGGTGACTGAGACACTTTGCCAATGGAACAAGAAAATTAACATTTAAGATAAGAAAAAACAAATGCATTGTCTTATTTTAAGTGCATATTATCGAATTATCTTATTTTAGGAGTAAAAATACAAATTCCATTGGCAAATTATCTTAATAACCTACTCAAATTAATGGTAAATATACTTAATTTAAAAAATGTTTGCTCTTATTTCAAGTGCATTTTATCTAAAAATCTTATTTCAAGAGTGAAATACTGATTCCATTGGCAAATCGTCTCATTTACCTGCTCAAATTAAGGGTAAATACACTTAATTTAATTTTCACTTATTTCTAGATCATTTTTCCAGTTTATCTCTCCAGTAGTCTGTGGGTGAAAGGCGCTCCATTGCAGGGCAGCACAGAGACACTCAACCATGGACATACACACTCACACATCAGGACAGTTTAGAGAAGTCAATTAATAGTGGGGAGTGCTGGCCTGGTGGGTTAGAGCAGTGCGCTTGTGCTCTAAGAAGATTGCAAGTACCTGATTTGATCCCCACAGCCTCCACTATGGGTATCTGAGCAAACTGGGAAAAAAAATTGATCTAGAAAGAAGTAAAAATTCCTTTAAGTTTATTTACCGTTAATTTAAGTGGGCAAATAAAATGATTTGCCAATGGAATGAGTATTTTTACTCTTAAAATAAGATAGTTAGATCATATTCATTTGAAATAAAGCAAAGCAATTGTTTTTTCTTATTTTAAGTGTAAATTGTCTTGTTCCATTGACAAAGAGTCTCACTTACCTAATCAAGAAAAAAACTGCACTTAGTTTGAGGGAAATACTTTTATTTAGATTTCAATTTTTGCAGTGCAAAACCTTTAACCCCACACTGCTCCCCTGGCACCGCACAATGGCTGCCCGCTGCTCCCCAAGGGATGGGTTAAATGCAGAGATAAATATCTCCAGTCTCAAATCAATAAAATGCAATTATTATTGTAACCTGACAGCCATGTTTTTGAAATGTGGGAGGAAGCCGGGGTACCCGGAGAGAACCCAGGCATGCTCAGGGAGAACATGCAAACTCCATGCAGAAACTTGAGGGTGCCTGGGAAAGACCCTGGAACCCAGGACCTTCTTGCTGCAAGGCAGCAATGCCGGTTCCCATTGACAATTGAACAAGAGCATTCATTTTTATGTAAAGACAAAAATGAAATAAGTGACGGCTTGTGATAGAGCAAAGTTCTGATTTCATTTCACAGCTGAGAAGCTGACACCTCGGTTTATGTCCTCATTGTGTGCAGCAGAGAGAAGGCCTGTGGGTAGAAACTGTCTCTACACTGGAAAAACGATCTAGAAAAAAGTAAAACATTGGATATATAGAGCTCTCTGTCACCGACCTGAGTTAAATGTCGAAACAGATGCAGACCCCCCACATGCTGGATACAGAGATGTTTTGGTTCCATTGCACAAAGTCCCAGTAAATTAGGTTTAAGTTTGTGACTGAAATGTGACAAAATACCAATGGAAATAAAAACAAAAAAATGAAAGCATTTTTTTTGTAATTCTAATATAGATATTCTACTCTAAAAAACTTACAACTCTTTCCATTAGAGCCCTGCATGAATACCTGAGTCAAGAGCCCTTCACAGAGTACCAGTTCAGCATGCACTTTGATCGCTTTCTACAGTGGAAGAAACTGGAGAGGTCAGTCTTGTTATGTACGTTAGCGAGGAGGAAACAGAAATCTCATAAAACAGCTTGACTGGTTATTTGTTTCCTGGGAAGCTGGTTTATCTGCTGGCCTAAAGTTACATAGCTGAATAAGAACTGTATCTGGAAAGAAAATAAAACTTCTTAATTTGTCTCTCTCTCAGGAAGCCCATCACCAAACACACGTTTAGAGAATACAGGCTTCTTGGGAAAGGAGGCTTTGGAGAGGTAAGATTACACTGGGAAAAAAAACAAAATCTAGATAAGTCATTATGTCTTAAAATAAGTGCATTTGTTCTTGAACTGAGGAGATAAAAGGGACATGCCAATGGAACAAGACAATTTACCTTTAAAATAAGAAAACACAATTGCATTGTGTTATTTCAAGTGCATTTTATCTAAATATCTTATTTTCAGAGTAAAAATACTCATTCCATTGGCAAATCATCTCATTTACCTACTCCAATTAGAGTAAAAATTTACTTATTTCTAGATCGTTTTTCCAGTGTAGTAAAGTCTGTCCCTGCTTAACCACACACTGGGAAAAAATCCAAATCTAGATAAGTCATTTTTTCTTAAAATAAGTGCATTTGTTCTTGGATTGAGGAGATAAAAGAGACATTTTGCCAATGGAACAAGACAATTTAGATTAAAAATAACAAAACGCAATTGCATTATCTTATTTCAAGTGCATATCATCTAATTATCTTATTTTAAGACTGAAAACACTCATTCCATTGGCAAACTATCACATTTATCTACTCAAATTAAGGGTAAAAACACTTAATATAAACCTTTTTTACTTCTTTTTAGATCGTGTTTGCAGTGCATGACTAGTCTAAATAACATAATTTTGCACGTCACAGCACCAACTGGACAGATATGAATTGTTTGTTGTTTTTTTTTTGTTACGAACATCATTTTTTATTCCATCCTGCAGGTTTGGGCTTGTCAGGTGCGGGCCACAGGAAAGATGTATGCCTGTAAAAAGCTAGAAAAGACCCATGTAAAGAAATGGCAGGGAGAGCACATGGCGCTCAATGAGAAAGAGCTACTGGAGGAGGTGGACAGTCGATTTGTGGTGAGATTAAAACTACGGTCTTATGTTTTTTTTATTATGTTTGTCACTACCCAATTCATCCTGGAAGCACGATCCGTCCTGCACATGCACAAACAGAATAACTTCCGCCTAAAAAATACTTCCTTTTTCTTACCTTTTTATTCTTTTGTCTTTTTGCATATTTTGCTTATTTGCGTAAATATTGCATATTCTAAAAAACATAAAATGTTTCATAGGAGTGAATAAAACAGACCACACACCATGCAAAGCCCAAAAGCAGAAGCATTCAACAAATATTGGGTAAACCATTGTGAAAACTTAAAAAAAAATACATCAAACATAAAAAACACAAATAACAAAATAATTTAGAAACAAAATTAGAAATCATTTGATTAAAAATCAATAACTACATTCTAAAACCTTGAGAATAACAACCATGTCTGTTTTAAAGAAGCAGGAAAGGATCCTGAGTGAGGAATGTTTGATGAGTGTGTAACAAACACTTAAGGAAATTGAAGAATATTGTATTTTAGTTTGAAACTATGTAAGAAAATATCCCCTGCTGACTGATCCCTGAGTGCTAGGAGGAAGTGATTTTAATTAGACGCAGCTCTGCTGACAGCCTTGCTGCAGGGATGGTTTGCACACTTCTTACGTTTGCCTTCACCGTACGTTTTACCAGCTTGGTGAACGGCAATGCAAAAAAAATCGGATTTCACAAAAATTTGGAATTGAGCATCAAGGCCTGCAGTGTGAACGTAGCCTTTGTAACACTTTAATGCTACCACTTGTTTTCACTTTGAGCCAAACCTGGAAGTTACAGATCTAACTAGTTGCTCAGGTTAATACTGCCTTAGATTTTATCACTATTACTGGAGGAATGAGAGCTAAATATAGTTCTACTCTTGCCTTCTACACTTTTCCTTTGCTTTATTTTGGCTAGAGGTGTCAATTAACTAAGTACAAATAACTTTCTTAAGTAGAAATTTTGTCTATCTATACTTTACTGCAGTAATTATTCTTTTAGGCAACTTTGTACTTATACTCTTTCTATTGCCTACATTTTAAAAATGGACTTGTTAGTTTTGTTTCATTTAAGCTCATTTTCATTATGGCCTGTTAACATCAAAAAAATTGGTTTCATCCAGACAATAAATTCCTTTGTTTGTTGAACTCTGTGCTGCCCCAACTTGTTGTTCACTACATACCAAAAATAGTTTTTCAAGATGATGCAAAGTTCAATTTGACACTGTTACCATAAGTTATAAAAATAAAATAAATAAATTATCATCCAGAATTGTAGAAAAATATTCCTTTAATAGGGTAGCACAGTAGCCAGTAAGATGTTTAAAGCATCAACGTTTTTCACTGAATTACTTTTACTTTCATGCTTTAAGTAGCTTTAAAATGACACTTTTACTTGAGTAAAAAGCTTTAAAAAAGTAATAAAACAGTAATTTTTATACTTCTACTTGAGTAATGAACCTTATTGCTTTTAACATTATTACTTCATGACTGAAGAACAAGCCAAGTGCACTAAAGTGTTTGCAAACACTTTGCCATTAATTACTAGAATCAGTCCAACTTAAACACCTTCTGATCAGTTCACAGGTTCCTCTATTTACACCTTTAAATGCTAGTTTTAAATGCTAGTAAACCCAATTAAATAAAAAAACACTATTTTTGTTCTTTACAATCTGGTGTAAAACTTAGAATTTACTGTAAAAGTTAAAAACTCAAACGTGGAATTGATTTATCTTTTTTTTTTTTTTATCAACTGAGCTGTCTTCACTATATTTCTTCAATATGTCAATATAAATATAGTCAATATATTCCAGAATTTTCTCACATGTATTGTCAGGTCTAAGCACCTAAAACATCATTCATACATACAGGGAAAGAAACAAGGCACAGAGACAATTAATTTAGTTTACTCGTGAGGAGAGTAGGAAGAGACTGCGGAGTTTACAAATTTGCAACCCAGCTTTCTCCTCGCTATTTATTAAAGTCAGGGGATGTCCCTAATTACAAAAGCTGAGGTTTAACTAAGGGAAGGGAAACAAAATGATCTTACTTTAAACCTCAGCACATATGTTAAAACAAAGCATGTGGTTGTTTTACAATTGAATTGTTCCAAGAACACATGTTTAGAAGAAACATGTGATAGAGGATGTTCAGGCTTCTTTTACAACCTGTCCGTTGCATGACCTTTATCTGGAACGATCTTTAGAAAGAGTTAATAAACAATGAATCACAGATTATACATCATAACAGTTCATTAGTACACAACCCATGAAACACAAACGGAGTATAAATAAAATTTTTCTAACATGCATGCAGCTCACTGCTCTGGTTTCTGTGCCGTTTCTCTGCAGGTAAATCTTGCGTATGCTTATGAGACCAAACATGCTCTGTGCTTGGTGTTAACCATGATGAGTGGTGGCGACCTGAGGTTTCACATACACAACATGGGAGAGCCTGGTTTAGAAAAGAACAGAGTGTATTTCTATGCTGCAGAGGTCTGCTGCGGATTAATTCATCTCCACCAGAAGTCAATAGTTTACAGGTGGGTGTATTTCTGCACGACATTGAACGCATCGCAGACAATCAGAGGTTCTGACTGTAATCTGCTCCAAATGCTTTCGTTTTATGTTCCAGGGATCTTAAACCTGAAAACATCCTCCTTGATGACAATGGTACGTCTGGCCAAATCAAAAGCATGTTTGTTTTATTCATGAGTGAACAGTAACTGGCTTACAGTGGATAAATATAACTTCACGTGTCACATTCCAGCCATAATTGGGGCGTTTTGTGGCTATTTTTAGCTTTTGCATAAGTTTGAAAGCCTTTTTTTTTCTTAAAATAAGTACATTTGTTCTTGAACTTAGGAGGTAAAAGGATCTTTTTACCAATGGAGCAAGACAGTTTAGATTTAAAATAAGAAAACACAACTGCATTGTCTTATTTCAAGTGCATAATATCTAATTATCTTATTTTAGGAGTAAAAATACTCATTTGATTGGCAAATTATCTGATTTATCTATTCAAATCAAGGGTAAATACACTTAATTTAAGATTTTTTTTTACTTATTTCTAGATTGTTTTTCCAGTGCAGTAGTATTCTGTAAGACATCGTCAATTCCTTACATGAATCTCTAGTGGTTTAGAAGAAAATCTGTTTTGATGGTATTTTGACAAGAGTTAAAAATAGCTGAAGTAGCTGAACGTCGTGGGAAACAAGTTATTTGTCACCTAATCCAAAAGGAAAATTTAAAAAAAACAATCAGCTTTGGCAGGACATTTAAGGTCTTTGTCTCTCATCTGTTGGATACATAAAAGCACACATGCAATGACAGACTGTTGTAAAATTAGCTCTAGGAACAGGTTCTGCAGGTTATGAAAAAAGCGCAAAGGGAAAGTGCGTCATCACAGCAAAAATGAAGAAAGTATGAAACCAGTTCAGCTGATATCTGTTTGTTTTTGTGCCAACAAGGACACATCCGCATCTCTGACCTAGGCTTGGCTGTGAAGCTGCAGGACGGGGATCTGGTGCAGGGAAGGGTCGGCACATTGTACTACATGGGTATGTATTTACAGAAACTGATTTATCCCTCAGTTTTAAAACTAATCTAAATGTTTGGGTCTGTATTCAAATCAAGCCCCTTTTGCTGCAATTAAAGCTGCAAGTAAAATAACTGAAGCTCAGTTAAAACTGAATGTAGAGGGTCTGTTTTTAAGACTCCCATTTGGATTTAGGTCTGGACTTAAAATGGATCAATTGACACAGATATGCTTTAATCTAAACATTCGTTCTTCTTGTGGTTTTCTTTCACCTTCATCAAGCTGCACTTCCATAAATGACAGGTCTGAGGTGTTATCGGCATTCCTGTCGGTTACTGTTTGTTTCTTCACGTTCACGCCTTTGTGTGAAAGAGGAATTTTTATTGTTGATCTATGATCTAATCGAGCTCATTCCTGCAAAGCGGGCAACAATCTGACTAGTTATCTCTGTTCAGTTTCTAGGTATCCTACATTAGTACAATAGTGCATTGATGTGGTTGTATATTTTCAGGTATTTATGTTGTGTGAAAAGGGTTCAGTCTTTTAGCTGGTAGATTTCATCATATATCTATATAAAATAAACATATAAAAAGGATTTTTAAAAAGTCTAAGTAGTCTAAATCTCTTTAGTATTAAAAAATAGTCTACTGTAAGTCTATTTAGTAAAACTAAAATGAAAGTGGATCATTCTGATAATAGACTATTTTGCTTCTGTGGTTAAAATTAGAATCAGACAATGAGACATTTTTTAAGACATTTAGGGCCTGATCTTTAAAAAATCCAATTAAGGAAAGAATTAAATTGCGTGGATTAAGACAAAAATAGCCTGTGCAACAAGTGAGTGATCTACAAAGATTGCATGCAGAAAGGATAAGACGTGAAAACAGGTTTGGTTCAGCCCCATTGAAAAGAGTCAATCTGCAGTTTGAGAGTGGCCGTGAAATAAGGATGAAGTTCTGATTATAATAATTATCAAAAATATATAATAAGGGTGAATATTATTCATAATTATTTTTAAATTTAAGGATCTTAAAGTAGTACAAAAACAAAAAAAACATAAAAGATTATATAAATATCTGCTTCCCTCTCTGCCAAAGGATCCACAGTCAGATCTATGGTGAGATTAAACAGCTGGATTAACCTGCACTGTCACCCAAGATATTGCAAACAAGGTGAAACCGTGACTATTTAAATACATCTTCTTGGATTTAGATGCAGAGCCCATGAAGCAAACTCATATTTATATGGGGACAATTCAGTATCATTAAGTCCTTAAAACGGTTGGATCCAGCTTGATAAATCAAAATTCTGAATTCTACATTTCATTTACTGCTCAGGGATTATAATTTTAATCGCATTTCTTAGCGGTTTCTGCCACTTTGCTGTGTCTACTTTATAGCATGGAGTAACATTTTTGGCTCTTAGGGCCGCATTAATTGCCATGAGGAGACGGATTCGGCCGCTGGGCACTGAGTTTTGCACGTGTGGCGTAATGGATCACTGAGGGAGAAATAAGCCCCATTTACATTACCCTTTGATAATAGCAGTGCTGTCAAAAGTACACACATTGGTTACTGAAGTAGAAGTAGAGATACTGCAGTTTAAAAACACTCAATTACTCAACAAAGTATGTGCTCCAAAAACTACTTAAAGTATAAAAGTATAAAGTAACCTTTAAAAAAAACAGCCAGATGCCACTATATGAATTGAAAGCTCAATTTTTCAACTATTTCTAAAAATTCTTTGAGATAGGACCAAGGATGACGGAGGTCTTGTTGTCTCCATCTGATATGCTCTCGCCTGTGTCCGACCTTTCAGACATTTCAACATCTTTTTCTGAATCCTTCATTGTAGCATGGCATAGACAATTCATGTTAGCAGTTTGAAGAACACCAGCTTGCTTCTGATGATTTCCTTTAGCTAACCAATGAGTGTTTGCTTCTATGACTGATCCAATCACACTAGTTTTCACTAGATGTTGATGGCGCCAATGATCTCCATTGGATTGAGCACATGACGTGAAATAAATATTTATAAACATTAAACCGAACCCAACAGTAACAAATAATGTTTATTTTAAAAATGTAAGGAATAAAAAGTACAGATACTTGTGTGAAAATGTAATGAGTAGAAGTCAGAAGTAGGAAGAAAAATAAGTAATGGAGTAAAGTATAGATACCTAAAAAGTGTACTTAAGTATTTGTACTTCGTTACTTGACAACTCTGGATTATAGTCTGTGTTCTGTCACACAAAGGACTGTAGGATCCATACAGCTCGTAGCAGCAGCTAGGATGTCAGGAGGTCCCTATGCTAACTTAACTGTTGCTAGGAAGCGTACTGCTTCCTGATCCTAGCTTCTTCCTTACTTTAAGCGCTTTCAGATAGCACAGTTCTCCTGTGGCTGCAATGTCTTTATTGATTTGAGCTATTAGTAAGCAGCCTTATGCTACGTTCAGACCGCACACTGCAGAGGCAGCAGAAGCTGCAAGTTTATATGCAATGTCAACAGTGCAGGAAAAGGTCCTGCACCTCGTTTTGAGCAGCAGCAGCGTCATGAGGTTCTGAGCATCTGACACGGGCGACGCACTGCAAACGCAGCAGCTGCTGGAGTTGGAAGAATTGAGCTTTTGTAGCTGGATGCTCCACATCAACCAATCAGAGAAGCTGATCTGGGAGCTGGACACAGCACTGCTGATGAATAGCGCTATGATAGCTCCTCTGAAACAGTTTATTAACGCCCAAGTTAATTTAAAATGTCGAAATCTGCCCGCAAAATATCTTTAATTGCAATATCCTGGTGCCTGCAGTTTGGATTACGTACGTAAAAAACGCCTTCCACCCAATGCAAACAGTAGCAGAAAACAACAAAGAGGCGACCGAGCCACAGGCTGCTGTTGAAGGGGATTCCCAGTGACAGAGAACCGGCGGTATACAGCGGTCTGAGCGGCTCCGACAGAGAAATAATAGTTGTAGGCAGGATCGTAATCTTGATAAACTTATCGCACAGATGAAGTTTTAAGGTGGACTTACTTTAAAAAGTATTAAGCTATGTTTTCTGCCGTTAAACACAGGAGCAGCAGAAGCATCTGGACACATTTTACTGGAGCATCTACTTCAGGAGCATCAAAGCTGCTCTTGATGCACGTCTGACCTTAATGCTACATTCACACCAAACAAAGCAGAAGCAGCAAAAACGCGTCTGCTGCTTCATTTTTTTATGCTTGTGCAACTTCAGTTCTGACACGCGGCTGAAGCATCTGTGCTGCTCTAGCTGCGCACATTCATGGAGCTACCCTATCCTTTCTTATAATATTAACATTTTGCATTTATATATGTTATCATAACTGTATATATAGATCTTTTATCTTTTTGCCATTAATGCAATAAAAGCATTTTTCCAAAGTCTGAAATGTTAATAGACCTTTTTAATTTAATATGATTATTTTGATTGATCAAGTAAATGTAATCGATCAATATCTGAAGCGCTGATAGAGATTAATGGTCCAAGAAAAATTATTTCAAGGTGTTTAATTATTGTTATCAATCAATAATAAGAAATGTTAATGACTAGATTTCTTACTTTTAGTATTTAAAGCGATACGGTTATTAAAAACATCTAAAAACCCAAACCGAAATGAAAAAACAGAGCTGTAGATGTCTGAGATTAAAATGTGAAGTTTCTGAGTCATTGTTTTCTAGGTTATATAGATCTATTTCTCCTCCTTGACAGCAGTTTGCTTTTCCTGCTCGCAGCTCCTGAGGTGATCACCAAAGAGAAATACGACATGAGTGCTGACTGGTGGGGCCTCGGCTGTCTGATCTACGAGATGATTGAAGGTCGATCTCCATTCAGGGCCCCGGGAGAGCGCCCCAAATCCTCAGAAATGGAGAAAAGAATCACATCGAAAAAGTTGCAATTCAGCGACAAGTTCAGCAGGGAAGCAGTGGACATCTGCCAAGGGGTCAGTTTCACTGCCTAAAACTCATTTAAATCTTACTTCTCAGCAGAAACACATATCATACATGTTTTCTTTTAATTGCCTCCATAATATCAACAACTTTTCTTTATTTTAGTTGCTGCAGAGGAATCCTAAATACAGATTAGGCTGCCGGGGGTCAGGAGGGAGGGAAGTGAAGTCTCACCCATTCTTTCGACTCATCAACTTCCGGATGCTGGAAGCAGGACAAGTGAAGGCTCCTTTCACACCAGATGTGAGTTCAACATCTATGTCTGTAACTCTATGTGCAGATTGACTTTACTATCTCATTTACCTACTCAAATTAAGGGGAAATACACTTAATTAAAATAAAAAATAAAATTTTTCTCATTTCTTTATCGTTTTTCCAGTGTAGTCTTCAAAAGCTGGGTTCAAAATATTATTTATGTTATTTTTATTTATTATTATACAGTAACGATAGAAAAATTAATGTCCTTATTTTCCAAATGAATCACTGGGGACAGATTAGATTTGAATGAAGCCCCTGCTAATACATTTCATTACCAAAATGCAAATTTATGGAGTGAATTTTGTTCCATTATTGTTGCAAAGAGCATGTTCGGTAAAAGGAAATAGGAAAAAATTGTAATTCAGAAAGGAAACTTCAGAGAATTTGTTTAAACAAAAATGTTTTGAAAGTGACTTTGCTGTTTCCATGGAATACATTTTTCTTATAGTTTCATAATATACTTCTAATATTAAATTTTTTCAAAACAATTATATCAAATTTGTCAAAAAATGAAAAAAAATCTAATTTGAAATAATACAATTGAAAAAATAAATTTACATTTTATTTATTTATATTGCGTCAATTTACAACAGATAATTCAAACCAGATCATCCAGTCAGATGGGTTCAAAGTTTTCTATCTAAGGAAAACCAGTTGAATGCATCGACTCATTGACTCGAATGCAATCCCTCACACCAAGCATGCTTGTAGCGACAGTGGAGAGGAAAAACTCCCTTTAAACAAGAAGAAACTTCCAGCATAATCAGGCTCAGTGTGAGCGGCCATCTGCTGAGGCCGACTGGGGTTCAAGCACATAGAAAAAGAAGCAGAGCAACTGTAAAATGCTGCCCGGTCCAGGAAACAGAC